GATTTTGCCAAAAAAAAAATAATATTCTTCTATGTGCTAAAATTATTTTATACAGATTTTTAATATGGAAATTTCTAATGAAATCAAGCTCCTACAATCCAAAATTTTTTGAAGACCTTGAAGATTTCTTTTAAGATCTTTTAGTGGTTATTATCTTAGGAAATATTGTAGGATAAAGAGAATATTCCTTTGTAAGCACAAAATATTTCTATCTCTCTTAAAATTATTTTGACTCTTTTCTTTCTGTAGTAGGAGCTACTCTGGTCATAAATTGAAAATTTTAAACCCTGAACCAATATTTGTTCAAAAAAGGAAAAATTTACCTAATGATGAGTGAATTTGAAAAGCTTGAAAAAAAAAATTTCCTTAAAACAATATGCTGAATCACTTAATATTTTAGAACTAAGGGAGTCGACCATATAATATTTTCTTAACAATGCCACTGATCTTGCAAACCAAAAGAAATTGAAAGTCAAAGATCGTGAAGTTTTTATTTCAAAACAGAAGAATAAAAATTTCAAGAACACAAGAATAAAAAATTTGGCTCCGCTCTCTCCTTAATAGAATTGATGAATTTTGTTTGGAGAGGTGAATGTTCAGTCTAATTTTTTTATTATTATGTTAAATTGTTCATATTTTAATTGACCTTTATATGTTTTAAATAATTGAAATTGACAGGTTGAAAAGGAGCCACAACATTCAAACAAATGGAAGAAGAATATGAAGAAGTTAAGAGATGCCAAGAAAAAGGGCTGGAAGAACAAACAAAGACCTTTATTAAAACTTTATTGGGCCTCAAGGGTCATTTTCTCTGAGATTTTGATGATTTTGCCAAAAAAAAAAATAATATTTCCTTGTATGTGCTAAAATTATTTATACAGATTTTTAATATGGAAATTTCTAATGAAATCAAGCTCCTACAATCCAAAAATTTTTTTGAAGAAACTTGAAGATTTCTTTTAAGATCTTTTAGTGGTTATTATCTAGGAAATATTGTAGGGAATAAAGAGATATTCCCTTTGTAAGCAACAAAATTATTTCTATCTCTCTTAAAATTATTTTGACTCTTTTCTTTCTGTAGTAGGAGCTACTCTGGTCATAAATTGAAAATTTTAAAACCTGAACCAATATTTGTTCAAAAAAAGGAAAAAAATTTACCTATGATGAGTGAATTTTGAAAAGCTTGAAAAAAAAATTTCCTTAAACAATATGCTGAATCACTTAATATTTTAGAACTAGGGAGTCGACCATAATAGATATTTTCTTAACAATGCACTGATCTTGCAAACCAAAAGAAATTGAAAGTCAAAGAATCGTGAAGTTTTATTTCAAAAACAGAAGAATAAAAATTTGGCTCCTTGTCTTTAATAGAATTGATAAATTTTAATTGGAGAGGTCAAAGTTTAGTCTTATTTTTTATTATTATTTAAAGTTGTTCATATTTTAAATTGACTTTTATATGTTTTAATATTGAAATGGACATGTTGAAAGGAGCCACAACATTCAACAAATGGAAGAAGAATGGAAGAAAGCTAGAAATCAAGAAAATGGTGAAAGACAAACAAAGACCGTATAAACTTTATTGGCTCAATGGTCATTTTCTGTGAGATTTTGAATGATTTTTGCCAAAAAAAAAAAAATATATCTTCCTATGTGCTAAAATTATTTTATGAACAGATTTTTTTAATATGGAAATATTCTAAATTGAAATCAAAGCTCCTAACAATCCAAGTTTTTTAAGACCGTTGAAACATTTCTTTAAATTTTTTAGGGTTAGTATTTTAGGAAAATATTTGTAGGATAAAGAGAATATCCCTTTGTAAGCACAAAATATTTCTATCATTTCTATCTCTCTTAAAATTATTTTGACTTTTTTCTTTCTGTAGTAGGAGCTACTCTGGTCATAAATTCAAAATTTTAAACCCTGAACCAATATTTGTTCAAAAAAGAAAAAATTTACCTAATGATGAGTGAATTTGAAAAGCTTGAAAAAAAATTTCCTTAAAATAATATGCTGAATCACTTAATATTTCAGAGCTAAGGGAGTCGACCATATAATATTTTCTTAACAATGCAACTGATCTTGCAAACCAAAAGGAATTGAAAGCCAAAGATCGTGAATATTTTATTTCAAAACACAAGAATAAAAATTTGGCTCGCTCTCTCTTTAATAGAATTGATGAATTTGTTGGAGAGGTGAATGTTCAGTCTAATTTTTTATTATTATTTAAAGTTGTTCATATTTTAATTGACCTTTATATGTTTTATAATTGAAATTGACAGGTTGAAAGGAGCCACAACATTCAACAAATGGAAGAAGATATGGAAGAAGTTAAGAGATCCAAGAAAAGGCTGGAAGACAAACAAAGACCTTATTAAACTTTATTGGCTCAAGGGTCAATTTTCTCTTGAGATTTTGATGATTTTGCCAAAAAAAAAATAATATTCTTGTATGTGCTAAAATTATTTTATACAGATTTTTAATTTAAATAGGAAATTTCTAATGAAATCAAGCTCTACAATCCAAAATTTTTTGAAGACATTGGAAGATTTCCTTTCCTTGAAGATTTCTTTTAAGATCTTTTAGTAGTTATTATCTTAGGAAATATTGTAGGATAAAGAGAATATTCCTTTCTAAGCACAAAATATTTCTATCTCTCTTAAAATTATTTTGACTCTTTTCTTTCTGTAGTAGGAGCTACTCTGGTCATAAATTCAAAATTTTGGAGGAAGAGCAAGATAGAGGTAAAACGTTGAAGTCTTCTTATTCCGTTTTATTAGACATTGATGGGGTGAGTCACGCGGACCCGGCTGCATTTACAATAACAACAAAAGAACCATATATTGCAAAATTTCAGACATTTAAAGGAAAAATAAGGTAAAAGAAAAATTAATTGCCACAAGTTTCATCTAGCATTGAACAGTAAACTGGAAAGAATTAAGAAAAGAAAAACATATAACTTTAAGACAATGGCTTCAAACGTACATAAAAAGATAATTTCTCACGTAAAATACTCTTTCAGCTCAGTGAATCATGCATGTGCAACTTAATTCTAAACCCACATGATGGAAAACATAACTTGACTACATGGAACTCTGTACAAGTTCAGCAACATCTTGCTTTAACCTAAATAAAGCCACAAAACTTTAAATAGAGGCAAGTTTCCAGAGAAAAATAAATAAAAGATCTTTCCTGAATGGGGAAAATGAGAAAATTTGTAACAGGCCATTTGTATTGTGTAATCATGGACAATGAAGCATTTACAATAACAACAAAAGAACTATATATTGCAAAATTTCAATATATTTGTCTTTTACTCTATGTGAGAATCTTGAAGGTCTAGTTTTTCTTGAATTAAACCAAAGCTATTACGCTTTATTTTCTATTAAAACACCATGGGTAAACACAAGTATCACCAGTCTAAAAAGAGATCATTTTCCTCTTCATAGACCCACAACTAGGTCCCAGACTCAGGCACGTGACATTCAACCACCCAAAACTTCAAACTTCAACAAAAAAAGAAAAAATAAAAAAAGCAGCAGGGGTCAACGGTGAGAGTGGTATGAAGCTGTGAATTTGATTTAGAAGAAAAAAAGTGGCCATGAAAGAAAAATTAAAGAACATGAAACACAGCCGTAATAGAATTAAGGTATGACACTTAAAAAGGAAATACCCAAGATAAAGAAAAATAAAATAAAAGAAAGAAGTGAGAGAGTTCTTGTAATTGTTGTTGATGGTGTAGCGAAATTAGTATGGTTTCTTGAACATTTTTAGGGAGAGAAGAGAAGAGAAGCGAAGTTAACCAAGAGATAAAAACAAAGTGAAAAATTAAGGACGTCAGAGTGTATAAAATGGGTTTTTGATATGTCTTCCTTGTGCCATTAAAGAATTGATTCGTGCTCTCTGCAACTTGATTTAGAAGGTGGTTTGTTTTTCTGAATCTTGGAAAAAATTAGCTAAATCAAATGAACTCTTATTCAATTATGAGGAGAATGCATTTTGTTACAGGCTTTACTAGGTATGGAGAAAATTCAAATGTGATTAGATAAGATTTTGACAATTATGGAGTGAAACTATCAATCCATTTAATACTGATGGGTTCAATAGAAAATATGCCAAAGAATGGTTTTAACTATGGCAACAGTGGAAAGAGCATTCTCTGATAGGTTTAACTTGCAAAGTTTCTTTCACTTTTAAGTTATCTTGGCATTGTAGAAGTTAAATTTATTATTATTTCTTTTGAATCTGTTAATTGTGTGAAGCTCACATCCTCTGACCAGAAAAAGAAAAGGGGTGAATTGCTGATATAGGTACAAATTGGTGACCAAATTGGAAAAAGTGAAAATTGAGTTTTCTTTTTATATATTCAACCCAAATTCAACCTTCTTCCGAGAAAATTAAAAAGTTGAAATACAACTAATACAATTAACCCTTAAAAGAATTAGCAAATTAACCCTTAAAAGAATTAGCAAGTTCAAGTCTTTTCTTAATCATTTAGCCTTTGTAAAAAAATAAAACTAAAATTAAAACATTTTCTTAATCATTTAGCCTTTGTAAAAAAATAAAATTAAAATTAAAACGTGCAAACGGCGGCCCTAGCCGACGGGGTGACTAACACACCTAGTAGTTTCTATTTTTTTTTTTTTTTTTTTTTTTTAGTAGTTTCTATTTTTTTTTTTTTTTTTTTTTTTTGTCAAAAAAAATTTTTTTTTTTTTTTTTTTTTTTTGTCAAAAAAAAAACCATGCAAATATAACAAATAAGCCAGATCTGAAGAGGAAAAAGAAAAAAAAAATGATTTTAAAGCTAAATACTGCGTGCCCTTTTAATATTAGGTGGTGTTATGTTTGAATTCCAACTTCTACAGAACCCAAACTTCTATCTACAACCCAAACCATGTACCCAGTGAGAAGTGATCAAAATGTCTACAGTGCTTTTAAATTAAAAAGAAAAGGAAAAGAAAAAAAAAATAATACTTAAACGTATACACATACAACCATATAAACAAGGCAGAAATAAACATTATCCTTGCTAAATGTAAATTGGGAACCAATAATTTTGAGTCCTGTCTTTACATTAATACAATAGCAACATTTACATCATCGGCTTCCTCAACCAAACCAACATTGTAAAATGATCTGAAACCAACTACTAAAATTAGAACATTGAAACAGAACTCACAGCTTCAATAATTATAATAACACATAACCTACTCACATGCCAGTTTTGTGCCGAAGCTCGTAAGACATATTGCAAATGCTTGAAAAGCGGACAAAGGCTGCCGATAATCCATGGTGAAAGTATCATCTCCTACCTTCCCAAACTGCAAGAGTACCGTCTCCTCATCACCTTTCCCTCCTGGCTGACTTTGGTCCAGAGTGGCAACCAATTGAAAGTTTTTCACTGATGCTACAGTTACCCGGCCATGGAAATTCAAACACCAGCATTGCAAATGTTCATGCCACCTTGGAGCCTTGTTGCGCAATACTGTGCAGCCACTAATAGAAGACTCTGTTTCCTTCATCTTGGAGTCATCAAGATGTTTGTCATTAGTATTTACTTGCAATTCATCAAAATGTTTGTCATTAGTATTCACTTGCGATAGTGGACACTTTAGTGAGCAAACCATCCTTCTTGGACCTCTTGATTTTAAGAGGTTAAATTTGTAAGAGACCTGTCCAACCTTGAAATTTCCTGCAGGGACCTGGGGGCTTATTTGCTTGCTTGCAAATCGGCGGCTAGCTCTGCTGCTAGATGGCTTAGCACCACTGTGTGGAGGCTGGCTATCATAGATTGTAAAATTGGTGCCAAGAAAGTCCGAACTGTAAAATTTTGATTGAACATTAGAATTTTATTTTCCATCTAATGGTCATAATCAAAATGGCTCAAACAATCCTATTCCATCCACCCCCATTTCCACCTCATGTCTCAACGATAAAAAAATAAAATAAGTAAATGAAGTTAAAAGAAAGAAAACCAGAAACAGAATACTCGCACTTAGTCAATTGTGTATTGACTGATATTATAAGAATTTATTAAACCCAACCAACATGGTAATTTTAAACCATAAAACACTTTGAATTAGGATCTTCCTCAAAAGATTCCCATGATGAGTGCAAAGAGTAAAAACAAGCTCCCATCAACAACGAACTAGCTAACCTTGACAATACTACATATAATGAGTGCACAGGGGACAATGTAGTATAATAATAAAATTTGCAACAATATTAAAAACAAAATGTAGTTCATCTGCAGCCAAAGTCTATCACTAACCTATAAAGGGCTACTTTTTGTTTACATGACACCTATAGTATCATAGTAAAATAGCAAATCTGTCATCACTTTCCAGCTGAAGATGAATTTTCACCTAAAGCACATTTACTTTCATTATTTTCCCATTGCCATATGAGAGCAAACAGATCACACAACAGGATGTCCAAGAAGGATACCAAGCAGACATGCAAAGTACTAAGTTAAACATAGACAAGAGGGTGCAAAGAAACCTAAAACAGACCGCACTATTAATGAAAAGTTGAACAGTTTTAATTCATTGTATCTGTTAATGTATACATAACCACTTCTCGTCCGTGAATAAATTACTTGCCTATTTTGGTAAGTGAATTTTCTAATTGACAGGAAGAGGCATGTTGAAACTTGGAACTCCTTAACATCCCCTAAAGGAATGCAAGTCCATTGAAAAGATGTAGGCAAGTAACCATGAATTTTAAAACTAAAAGTTTCACCATGATTGAAAAAGAAAAAGGGAAGAATAAAAGCTCTCCAGATTTTTAGCATTTTAAAAGAATTTGAAAACTCAAGCCAGCACTTCTCAAAAAGTCTCACCAGAACCTATATCAATATAGTACCTTACCTTAACTTTCCAACATAAGCATTGCTCCCTTGTGATAAGTCATCAGCATCAAGTGAGATGATATACTCTGTGTGAGCACCATGTCTATACCTCCTTGCTGCTAGAAGAAACTTCCCCTTGTCCATAAATGCTAGGAAGAAGAATAAAATGAAACTCTTGAGCTAACTTCAACTATTTACATTATACTATAATTTATATGGGGCCAACAGAAAACAACTAGAAGATATATATGCTAGAAGAACTCAACAGATAATAACAAAATTGATAAAAGTCCACGTAAAATAAATTTTGACAATATATAAACCTCTCACATTAATAAAATTCTTCATTACAAAAGATTCATTATGCCGTATAACCTTTCCAATTAAAATTTACCAGTGTTCTCAAACTCTATAATATGTCGTCTGATGGAACTCTTATAACCATAAAATAGTAGCGTACTAAAAAAAAAGAAAGAAATTTAACAGTTAATAGTTTTAATATCAAAATTTTACTTTATTACATAACAGCTATAAAACTCAAAGATTGTCTTGTTATGTTTAATTAGAGGTTATCATGTTAGTCAATATTTAGGTGAGACAATTAAATGAAACAAGATTTTCTGTTGGGAAGTCAATAATATCAATTTTAGACCAAGTCAAGTTGACTTAGAAGAGCCTTTTCTGATAAACTGTCATATCCTCCATATAGAGAGAAGTCGATCTAAAGGTTTGACAATAAATCCTTTCCCTTTCAATTTTGGTACCAGCAAGTTCTTCATTAACAATTACCCAGTCAAAATTATGCAGCTGTACAATACGCATACAAGTAAATCCTCCAAAGAAGCTTCTTACTTCCACTTTTAGTTGTAAAAATAAGTCCACCAACAGCTACTTACATGGAGGAAGAGCAAGATAGAGGTAAAACGTTGAAGTCTTCTTATTCCGTTTTATTAGACATTGGTGGGGTAAGTCACGCGGACCCGGCTGCATTTACAATAAAAACAGAAGAACCATATATTGCAAAATTTCAGACATTTAAAGGAAAAATAAGGTAAAAGAAAAGTTAATTGCCACAAGTTTCATCTAGCATTAAACAGTAAACTGGAAAGAATTAAGAAAAGAAAAACATATAATTTTAAGACAATGGCTTCAAACGTACATAAAAAGATAATTTCTCACTTAAAATACTCTTTCAGCTCAGTGAATCATGCATGTGCAACTTAATTCTAAACCCACAAGATAGAAAACATGACTACATGGAACTCTGTACAAGTTCAGCAACATCTTGCTTTAACCTAAATAAAGCCACAAAACTTTAAATAGAGGCAAGCTTCCGGAGAAAAATAAATAAAAGATCTTTCCTGAATGGGGAAAATGAGAAAATTTGTAACAGGCCATTTGTATTGTGTAATCATGGACAATGAAACATTACATGAAATGGAAATTGATTTTGTTGCAGCCAGTAAATTATGTCAAGGCCTTCAACAATTGCTCAAACAATAGAAGTTATTCGGTTTCAAGTTTCAAAATATTCCAAACCCTTCTTCATCACCCCACATTTTGAATTAAGATTTATAATTATTGATTTCTCAATGAAGAAAATAGCAAAATCAAGCATAAAGAAATTAATCAAAACACGAGAGAAAAGAAAATTGAAATTTCAGTAAAGAAATGCATAACCAGTAAATATATATTCAGACCCGAAAGTCGAATTAACCAGAAGATCAATTAGTTATTAAACGTACAGAAATAATAAACGGAATACCAATTGAAAATGTGAAACAATTGTTTAATTATCAAAGAAAAATTGAAATCAGATATATTTTTTAACTGAAAATCAATTCCCAAAAAATAAAAGAGTAAAGTAAAACCTAACATTTAACAATTCCCAATCGCTCACTAGAAAACCTCAAAAGTTCTAAAACGAAAACAAAATCCAAAGAATTATTTTCCAAGAAAATATAAAAACTAACCTGTTTAAGGCAAGAAGGGAAAGTGATTTTGCCGTTATTGCGAGGAGACTTAACGATCTCCTTAGTGATCTCTCTCCACTTCTTACAAACACAAGCACATGCTACGACGCTTTGTCGCTGAGGCCACCGATCCTCGCTCTCCTCCACTCGTTTTATTATCTCCCCAAGCAATTCAGGTAACATACTCGCCCACCCATCGACTGGGTCCGACTCAGCCCACGACTCCGACCAGTTGTCGCCTCCGAGTCGACCCGAAACCACCGCAGCTCCGTCGTCTTTGTGATTATTTACAGACTTGAACGACCTCGAGATCCTTCGTGAGAGAATCGATTTCCTCAGAGACATTAGAGACTGGTAAATTTTCCTTTTTCTTCCGAACCAGAGATTGATTTTGTATTTTGTATTTTTTATTTTTTTTGTTGCCTTTTGTTTGTAGGAAGAGGTTTGTGCATACAGAGTAACAAAGCTGTGAGATAACTGTTTAGAACAGCGACAGCAAGACAAAATTGTGGACAGGTGGCATGAATAGAATGGTTGAGGTGAGACTAAGCGTGATAATAGTAGAAGTTTGACGGAGAAAAAGGACGGGAGTCTCTGGTTGTTGTAGTTGGGGAGTTTTGACTGGGTCTAAAAAATTAAATAAAAACAATAAAAGCACAACGCCCCGACTTTTACCGTGTCTGTTTGTTGTGCATGACTGGCATAATATAAGTACGGGTTTGGAACTTAACGTCGTTAGTTTCGGCTATTTAAAATCAATTTTCAATTTGTACACCCTTGTTAAATTTTAAAATTTTTAATTTTTAATTTTATTAGTTTCAAAAAATTTTGATTCAAATATAACAAATTTAATAAAATCAATAACTCTCAACTCCTTTCAACTTTTGCTTATCCTAAATACAAAAAAATATATAAATTTATGAACAAATTATGTAAATTCAAATAGATTCAAATAAAATCGTTAAACTATAATTTATATTTCATAGAATTTATGAGTAATTTAGAATTTTAATTTTTTACATGTTTGATCAAGTAAGAAAATCATTATACATCATATTGTAAAGAAAGTTTACTTCATAACCTTTAATCAAGTGGCTTTACTTAATAAAATGAGGGATAACTTGAAACTAATTTTAGAAAAAAAAATGGTATATTATAAAAATTGTCGGTAACCGGTGGTGGTGGCCCATGGTGGCCAATAATGGTAGATTATAGTGAATAGTAATTGATGGTAATGATTACCGATAATTAATAAATTAAAAAAAATGAATTCATAAGTGATAGGAATTAATAAATACGCTGAACGTTCAAAATAGGCCGAACATTCAAAATGGGTCGAACATGCAAAACAGCTGAACATATAAATGGCTCAAACATCATTTTTAATGTCTTGGTCAACGAGTCATTTAAACTAGACAATTAATGTGTAAGATTTTCATTTATCATTTATGACCAAGATCCTTGTTAGACAGTAAAGGTCTTTTCATTACAGTTAGGAAATTTCTATAAATATATATGTATCATATCTCATCAAAGGATTACAACATTACAACTCAATTGCAATTCTAATATTTCTCAGATTTACTTCTATCAAATTGGTGCAGTAAGCCTGGAACACACCTTCATCATTCAACTTCTCTTTTGAATCAACTCAATAATGCATCCGATGATTCTCAAAATTTGTTAGGTGGAATTCCCATTGATGCTTTGGATGCGCATGCTATGATTAATACCACTGGGGTTCCTTCAACCTCAAACCCACCACCAGCGACAAATCTGCAGGTGCTGAAAGCTTTAGCAGAAGCTTACAATAACTTTGTCTAAATCTTGGAATGCTTTATGCATTCTCAACCTCGTCCTCGACCTTCTCAGAACCATAACTACTCACTTAGAAATGGGAAGGGGGTTGAGCAAGATGAGGAAAAGGAGCAAGAATATCAAGGTGAAACTGAGTCATCCTGGAGGATGAAGTCAACATCAAGTCTTCCAAAGGAAACAAGTGATGAATGTTTTCAAACCAGAATCAGAGAAATTCTCAAAGCATACTGTGTTACTAGAGACAACAGTGACTATGAGTTTAGAAATGATTCCCCATTGTCTCGAGAAGTATTGGTAGAGTCTTTCCCATCTAAATTCAAGATGCTGACATTCAAAACATACGATGGCACCACAGATATGAGGAGTCTTTTGGTGAACTTCTGAACGATAATGCATATTCAGACAAGAAAGGATGCTCTTTTCTGTCGAGCATTCCCGGTGACTCTAAAAGGACCAGTACAAGAGTGGTACCAAATGCTCAAGACAGGCTCAATTAGTTCTTTTGCAAAACTGACCTCAGCCTTCAAAGCTCCGTTTATTACATTTATTTCGAGCAAGAAGATATCATCAAATTTGATAGATCTTTGAAAAATTATCTTAATAAATTTTAAAAATTGGCAATGCAAATTGAATATCTAAATGCAGAAGTGACTATTAGTGCAATGGTGAAGAACTGTAAGTATGAGAAATTATTTGATTCCATTAACATTGACCCTCCACTTTCTTTTGCAGAACTAATATCATGAGTGAACAATTATGCCGATTAGATAAAGCTTGGAAGACACAGCAGCTAGTTAGGCCAAATCTCCTTTTGAAAGGAAGAAGGATGAACTAATAAGAAGACGATCACCACCATGGTTTGTAAGACCACATCTTGCTCAGTCAAATTACACGTTTAGAACGCCATATTCTCGAGCAGGGTATATAGAGGACAATGCTTCATGCCCTTAACTCGCAGTCAAACATACATTTTGGACTGGATTCAAAGGCATCATGAGGCTATTTATGTTACATATCCTAAAAAAATGCATAAAGAATCTCTAGTATATAGTGATAAAAGTAAGTATTGTGATTTCCATAGAAACGTTGGACATGATACTAAAAACTGTTGGCAATAAAAATAGAGATAGAAAAACTAATCCAAAGGGGAGTGCTTAAACATTTTGTGCAGGGATGAATAGAAAACAGTACCAATGAAAGAAAAGAGCAAAAGTTATCCCCTAAAATGAAGACAATTGGTGTCATTAATGTGATTTTTAGAGGCCCCACTAACAGAGACAGTAATACAGCTCAAAAGAGGATTGCGAGAGAGATCTATTCGATTCGTGAGAGAATCCCAAGCAAGCAACCTTCAATAACCTTTAATGATGAGGATGGCGCAAGAGTGCAACATCCTCATGCAAATGCATTGTTGATTCAAGGAATCATTGAAAATTACAGGGTTAAGCACATTTTGGTTGATGATGGCAGTGCAGTAGATTTAACGACTTATGATGTTTTTAAAGCATTAAACTTGAAAATTGATAAATTTAAATATATTCGAACACCATTAGTAGGTCTTGTAGGTAAACATGTTCAATTTGAAGGATCTATTGATGTGACTATGGAATTGTGTGATGAAGAGCATACTAAAACATTCCGAGTAGACTTTGTAGTTGTTGATATTCCATTTCCCTATAATGCTATGATTGGCCGACCAATATTATATGATTTGAATGCTTGTACGTCAATAAAATATTTAACATTAAAATTTTCAGTTGATAATGTTATTGCAGTAGTCGGAGGGGACCAACGAGCAGCAAGAGAAACGTTGGTGTTTGGTGTAACTGCAGGGAAATTCTTGGGATTCAGATCTCTCAACGCGAAATTGAGGCTAATCCACTAAAAATACAAGCCATATTGGATATGCGACAACCTCAAACCATTAATGATGTACAAAAATTGGATGGGCGTATCAAAGCTTGGGAGATTTATATCCTGCTCAGCAAGGAGGTGTTTGCCATTCTATAAGACATTGAAGGATGTACAGAGTTTCGAATGGACAACAGAATGCAAAGATACATTTGAAAAATCTGAAAACTTTTCTCTCTTCCCCACCTCTTCGTAGTAGACCACAATATTTATCAGTAGCAAAAGAAATGGTCGCTTCTGTTTTAGTCAGGGAAGAAGGAACCGAGCAATTCCCAATATATTCTGTAAGTAAGGTTTTAAGAGGGGTAAAGGTATTATTAATTGAAAAATTGGCATATACAATATTGATTACTTCAGTAAAGCTCAGGCATTATTTTCAATCACACACCATTTAGGTTCAAACTAATTATCCTTTGAGAAGGACGTTTCAAAGGATTTAGACGTCAGGCCGAATGCTTTAGTGGTCAGTCGGACTCGAAGAATTTGACATACAATATATACCTAGAGCAACACTGAAGGCTCAAGCACTTTTAAATTTTGTACTTGAGTTAAGAGGAATTGCAGAAGAAGAAGAACAGAAGAGTCTACCCAAATGGCATTTGCAATTGTATACAGATGGAGCATCAAGTTATACAAGTGTTGGGGCAAGAATCATCCTACAAGGACCAAAAAAATTAAAATTTATTATATTGTGCAACTGAACTTTGAAGCCAATAATAATGTAGCTGAGTATGAAGCATTGATTCTAGGAATTAAATTGGCACAAGAGGAAAGACCAGAATGTTTATCCATTTATTTAGACTCGCAATTGGTGGTTAATCAATTGATAGGGAAATTTGAAGTCAAGGAACCTATTTTGGTGAAATATAAAGCCTTGGCAGTGCAGTTGTTATCCCAAATTGAAGAATAGGAGGTACATCAGTTTCTAAGGGCAAATAATTCAATGACAGACAACTTCGCTAAAATGGATTCATAAAAAAATGAATGGATAAATAACTCCATACAATTAGAGATACAACAAACACCGAGCATTAAATAAAAGCAAATAATGGTAACCTCAACTCAGCAAGGATGGATGAAGCCGATAGTAAATTTTTTAGAGCAAGGAATACTTCTAGAAGACAAAAAAGAAGCAATCAAATTATTAAGGAAAGTTGCAAACTATGCTATAATCAACAAACTTATACAGGAGGTCAAAAGCAAATCCTTGGTCCAAATGCCGAAGTGAAGAGGAGGCTGATTACTCAGTAAGTGAGGTATATGAAGGACTGTGCAAAGCACATGAAGGGGCATACACCATCATAAGGAAGATTATTTTGCTTGGTTATTTCTAGCTAACTGTCACAATCCATTTCCGTGGGCCAGATCGACACTAGGACCTGGGTGGGCTTAAGGCCTCCGAAGCCCGTAGTAAGCCTGTATTATTTAAAACTCGCATTCTATTCATAATTGTGGATTCAGGCCCATTCAGGCTCCAATTAATTTATTTCTACCAGCCAATATCCCAAAGGTACAATCCATTACACAATTAAATGTTATTTCTCGATTTAACTTCATTTTTACAACCCAAGTGGAATACAATTAGCGGAATCCTACTATCTACTCTATATTTCCGCTATCCTCTTGCAGTACACATCTCAATATTATTACTCCTTTACCGAGTCCGCATCCCGTTTCATTCCGTCAGACTCAAGATCTCTTTCCTTTTCCTATCTCATTACT